CGAGCCCCTCGCGGCGGGGTTGAGAGGACAGAGCGGGGGGGAGACCCTAAACACCCGAGTCTCACCTGTCCGTGGGGCTTTACTGGTCACTTGCCAAGAGAAAGGGATACGTTTCTTCGTGCCGGGTCTGGAAATCTGTATCGCTCCAGTAGAGACTTGTGATTTCTCTCACCAGTTAGAAAGGAGCAAGCACAGAGTACTGGTGGCTGTTGAGACATCAGCCCGTTTGTCAGCTGGGAGCCTTGGCGATGCACGCTTTGTCACCGAGACCGAGAAGCAGAGAGTTTAAAAGAAAAAAGTGCACAAACATAAAAGTGTAGCAATTATGCCAGATTTATTGGAATAACAGTAAGTAAGTGGGAAATTCCTTTGAGGAAAAACTAGTAGATGTCACGACTAATAACTTAGGGTTTAGAATATCCATGCTACTTTAAAATGAATGTCATAACAGAGTGTTTTAGGTGAGTGCTTACCAAGAAACCTGTGTATAGGCTTTCTTTGAAAGCTGAACCATTATCACTTAACTGGGGCTTTGTAACAAAAACTGTTAGATATATACGGTGCACACGTGTGCATCCTGTACAGGCAGAACGTGTACCAAAGCACCACGAAGTGTCCGGGGCAGCCTGCTCTAGGTGGCTGTGCCTGAGCAGGGGTCTTGGACAAGATGCCCTTCAGAGGTCACTTCCAACCTCAACCACGCTGCGATTCTGGGAGGTGGTGTACGTGTAATGAACACCTAGTTTGGTATAATTCTATTTTTTTTCTGAGAAGGTGTAGAAAGATAGACCTCTGGCTTAAACTTAAGCAAGACAGACATGCAAGAGATCTTAATTGGTTTATGTGGTAACCTCGGCATTCCTCAGCCCATAGTCGCATAATTATTTGGAAAAACAAAATGCATCACCTGACATAATACCTAGTTGTGGTTTTTAGGTTAGTTATGTTCAGTGGGAGGATCATGGAGTGTCTCCAAGGAATACAGTACACAAATCAAGGCAGATGCGACAAAGGTTGTTAATTTGGCTACAAGTTTCCAGACATAGGTTAGGAAAATGTAAAAGGTGCCCTGCAAGATGCACGAGTTGCTGATAAGGAATGACACATCAGCACCCCATCATCACATGAGAGAAGTCAATGTGACAATCCTAGAGTGTCCCAACAGAGGAACTGGAGGCAATGAGCCGATAGATCAGAACAGTACAAGAGATTATATAAATTGATGGCAAGAAAAGGTTCACTTTAATTATTCTGTAGTTCTACAGTATATTTGGGAAGTTGGAGGCTCCCCTGGGGATGTCCAACTGAGGTTATACCAGCTGTAGAAAGAGAGCATCAAACTGTGACATCTCTGCGCTTTGAATTCCTTGTGAAACTCCTCGATCTGCTGGGCTGCATCAGCAATTCAGCCGTGACCCACCCAGCAAAAGAGCTGAACTGCAGGTCAGCATTTATTAAAAATGTCTACTGTGCGTGCAGTGTGGAGTCATGGCTCAGCTTCAGCCTCTTAAGGCTGATCAATGGACATTGCAGACATCTGGATGCCTGCCTAGAGCTGGAATTACTCAGACCAGTTACTTCAGCTAAAGTGGCTTTTAGTGAAGGGGAGCTGCAGTTCAACAAAATGGAAGCGTTGTTGAACGTTACTGATACGATGAGCTGAACATGCAGTATCAATTAGTTTGAAAATGTGTTTGACAGTAGTTTGGCAGCAATAATATTAGACAGTATTATTCCTTCTAACGCTATCTTAAACTCTATTTATATGCGAAGTGTGTGCAATACACTTTAAATCGGCTGTCACAACTCTGAGAACAGCAGCAGCGTCCCTTGCATTAGTATAAAGGTACCACAGATATTTTAATGTTGAAAGCTTTGCTTTAATAATCAATCTTTTCAAGGATATGTATGAGTTTTTTCTTCTGGAGTTGCTGGACTGTCTTTTCTTTGCATCAGCAATTTGTGGAGATGTTTGTTTCTTACCCCAAAATCCGTATTATAGCCAGAGGAACATTTGGATCTGGGATGTTGCCAAGGTACCTGACCTGATTAGCTGTCTGCCTTTTCTCTACAAAAAGTGAATACCCTCTAAACCAAAAATTGAGTTAAAAATTTGAGCCAGTGCTTAAATTAGGTAACCCATTTTTACCTGTATTTTTATTATGCATTCAAAATGAGTTACAGAAGAAACTAGAAGTGTCTTGCTAATGAGACTTCATTTTTCAGGAAGAAAATTGTGTTAGGAGGGAGAATATGGTGTCCACGCTACTGAAGTGTCTTCATGGAGTGGTCTATGGCCTTGTGAAAGCTAAGGGAAATACTAGCTTGCCTAGGGCTTCTTGGATTTAAGTTTAAGACGAGAGGCTCTGAGAGGTTGTTAGTTGTCGGACCCCTGTCTGACCTTGGTAGAAGTTGGAGCTCACTTGCTTCACAACGTCCTACCAACCGGGGCTTGAGTCGGCACTGCAGTGCAAATTGGCATGGTGCCTGCACTGCCTGCTTGTTGGGTTGCCCCATGTCTGACTCCAGACAAGCTGACAAGCTCCTCTGGCGGGCTGCAGGAAGGAACAGTTTGCACTGGTCACCCACCCCTAAAGGTGCGAGCGTTCAATGTAGGGACGTCAAACTTGCCACATTAGAAAGAGTCCCTGCTATAGCTTTGGGATTCTCACTTCCCCATAGCAGTGTTCTCCCTCCTGATCTCTGAATCCGCAGCTTGTTGACATACATGGGTATTTCCTGATGGGCAGGGGCTATATGGTAATTAGTTTTAATTTATTGGTTTTCTGCCTGATCATGACGTTCTCTCTTCAGCAAGGGAGTCTCTTGGCGCTACTGACTCCACTTCTTTCCTCCCTGTTCTCTTCTGTCCTTCCTGTTTCCCTGTTACTGCTTCTGGGATTTCTTTCCCCACAGTTGCTTCCAGTTCCAAGGAGCTGTACTTGCCCAAACCTGTTTCTTGCATTAAAATCAGTAATTCTTTAGGTAATGCTAGCATTGAGGTCACGTAACTGGGGATTGGACTTGACACTCTCATCAGACTTACACGGAACAGAGAAGTTTGCTCGTCTGAGTCACTGTTCCAAGGCTGGCTGCAGACATCATTACATCTATTACTCGTTTCGTGTTTGGGAGGTTATTGCTGCAACTATAGCGGCTAGAAACATACTTTTAAAAATGAAAGCTTTAATTTCAGAGACCTCAACTAAGCATTGTGGAGTGCCTGCCTGACCTAAGGGCTCCTTAGAGCCGAGTCTGAAGAAGGGGAAACCCCTTTCTGCATTTTTTTTTCTCAGGGACATGTTCAGACCTAGATAACGCTAGCTTTGCATTCTTACATAAAACCCTTGTACAGGAACTGGATAAGGACAGAAAAGATGTATGGGAGCTAATATTACAATATTTACTCATGAAGCAATAGGTAAAGGTAACTCTAATGAATCATTCAGTTTAGGAACTCTCACTGCCTCTTCTGTCTTTCTGAATTTGTTCCAAGGATAAGAGTTTCCTTTTCAGTAGAGCTTCATGATTAATTTTCTGAATAACCAACAGTATTTGTCTATGCAGTCCGTTGACTTCCAGTTAGTATTGGATACTTAGCTGCCATTTTATCACTGAAAATCATCCATATCTAGATCAGTAAGTGCACAGTGGTCTTGATTTATTTTAAATATTATATAGGTCAACAGACTAAAGTCAGCAATCTTCTAAAATAGAGATCAGTATCAACTGAGTCTAATTAAGGCGGCCCATATGATTTAATGGCAAAGTAAGTAGAGAAGAGAATGCCTTCTGGCTAGATAATCATTCTGTTAATGATCAGATATTCACCAGCTACTTTGTCAGTAAAGAAACCCAAATTTGCTTAGTCAAGGGTTGAATGAAACAGCGAGCATTTCCTAACTTTGATGTTTATGATGCAAGCCAGGGACATTACCATTTATAATAGTTGTACTGATGTAGGACAGGGATGTTTTAATTTCAGGAACAATAAACAAAACTATCCTTGTGGGCTATATGTGTGGGCAGATTCACAGTAATTAGGACAGAATAGACAGAAAGAAGGCTGCCCCCTGGTAATGAGTGCTGTATCAAGCTATGCCGTCCACCTCTGCTCATGTTGCAACTTCTGATAAGAAAAAAAAGTAACGTAGGACAAAGATCAGAGAAAAATCCTGCCTTTTAAGAATAATAGCCTTGGGTTCTGCAATTAATTGCAGCAAGGAGAGAGGGCCCTGCATGAATTTCAAAAGGAAAGTAGGTTTGTCTGAACTGATGCACATTACTTAAGCTGTGCACATATTCCTCATCAAAATAAGCATGTTACGAAGCAGTAGCAGCTGTGAGCCATTATTCATATTTAATGCTCTTAGCAGGGGTTAACTATGGGTGTCTGTAATAAGGTTACAAGACAGTGTTGCAATATCATGTGCTGTGGGTTTGCATTCTCAGAGCTTTTTTGGCTTTGTATCAAGTGCCAGTGAAGTTTTGTTTATTCCCCTGCCCTACCATTTGCAGAGGGTGAGTATCTTTGTAAGCTGCATTGTAGTGCATGATTATCCATTCTTCGTTGCCTCTAGCTTTACTTATACATCACCTGCTGCTTAGTTATGTGAGCGTTGCAAGTCCCATGCTGGTAGGAGCAATCTTGCACAGGAAAGGATGCAAGTGGTTTGGGTCCCATGGCGAGGGCTGGCTTGTGCTGTCACAGATGTGTTCTGTTTCCTCCAACTGTGTGGCTTTCGGTGTGAGCTGCTGGAGAACGATGATGCCAGTCAGCCTCTTCTTCCTAACTACGTCTTTTGACTGATACTTGTTTTCTACCTTTGCATGCTGAAAGGGCAGGCAGTTCTTGGGCAATTCGTAGTTCTTTCCACTGAAAATAGGTGGGCTGAACATGCAAGATGGAATCACCATGTTTTCACATCTGCATCTGAGAGGGGACCATCCATGGCTGTATTAGACCTTGGGTCATGGGGCCAGCAGGCAGTACCCAGCACAGCACAGGGGACTTGGCAGGCAGGGAGTTGCTGCTGACGCTGCTTTGGAGGAGTGTGGGACAAGCTGTCCAGTGGCTCTTCAGGGACAGCCTCTGGCCTTCAGGCTCTCTTTTTGCTTAGGTCTTTTTTTAGCCTTGTTATTGTTTGTTAACTTTTCCTTTTAAGTCATAAAATCCTTGAAATCAAACTATTTACAGCTCTGTCTGGTTAATAAGTTACTGGGCAGTGAAGTCAACAGTACAGAAGGAAGAAACAGTTGGAGCAGCAGCATATATATCCATTAGCATCATAAACTACATAAAATGCTGCCCTACACTAAGAAGCAATTGTTAGGCAGGCACCCTGGGACAGTATCTGCTGTCCTTCCATGACTTTTGGGTTACATGTATCCGATTTACAACTAAAATGTCAGGCTATAGCCTTCCTTAAATTCATGCCTTGCTGATGATGTATGCAACCTCCAATTATGTGTAGCAGATGGATACATGTTGACTAACTTCATAATGTGTCAATAGCATGGTCCCTTTTTACGCTGTGTAGTCAGTGTTGTTAGTGACAGGAGATATTGGCAACGTACCTTTTACCTCCCAGGATGGCTTATAGATTTGCAGGTGGTGTTGCCTTGTGTTGCTTATCTGTTGTTGTCCATGTAAACCCTGCTGCAAGACAATGGCAGCACATCATGCTCATTTTGGAAAGGGAGGAGTGCAGAGAGGGACACCAAAAATAGTGTTGAAAACATGGAGGTAGAATTGTGTGAAGAGCAGATAACTTTTTGAGTGACTCCTGGACAGCTGACTGTGTATCATTGGACCTCATGACACCATATTTGATTTCCATTTACAAAGTGAAATTAACGTCAAAATCAGTTCTTGCGTATTGCATTAGAATATTAGTCATTGCAGAATACTTCTGAATTTAAACGTTTGTAATTTAGCTTCTGTATGTTTCTGTTCACACTGCCTCACCTGTCCATGCTAACTGCTGCTCCCCATGAGCTTCCTCTGTTCACACGCACCTGCACCCCAGCTAAGGCCTCTAAATGCAGGATCCTCACCATTATCCCACTCTGCCATCACTGCTGAGCCTTCTGGTGCCAAGTTAACAATCATGTCTTCCTTTCCCTGCTGAATTCAAATTCAGTGCAATTAACCCCTGCTTTAGCCTCTTTTAATTAAAAAGCAACGAATACAATAAATCTGGATGTAATATGATAGTTAATGGCACCTCCACTGATGTGTAAACCCAACAATGAGCATAAGAAAGACAGCTCTGTCATGTGGGAGAGCTGTGCAAAATAGCCAGAGGGATGGTAGTAAGGAAGTGTCTTGTCTTCACCCCACTACTTCTCTGTGAGTGGCTTTTTCACTCTCAACGTTTTCGGTTGGAGAATAGTTTACCGGAAAATCTGTAAACAGGTGATTCACCACTAGAAATGGTTTATTCATACAGATATTAAAAAAAACCCAAACACCTCAATATTCATTTGTCAGTGGGTGTTTTTTCTTTAAAGTATCATTATGCACCTTGCTTTGCCAAAGTAGTTCCAGTCACAGCTCTGTCTAGAGCCAAGGGGAACTTTCTTAATTAAGTGAAGAACCACAGAGGAAAAGACTGCTTTACTTGTATATGTTATTACAATTCCTTTTTTAAGGCTTATTTTTACCAGCAGTTTTATATAACCTGCTCTAACAGGTCAAGAGCAACTTGTTTATTTTATACGTGCTTTTAGATTTGTTTTAGCTCAGGAAGACTTAAAAAAAAAAAAAAATCAAACAGCCCTTTTAACCCTTCCCTCAATCTTAGGGTTCAGTACAACAGCAATCAGCAAGTGATTTGAAAGAGGTCTGTCCTTTATCAAAGAGTACCTCAAACTGTTTCATCAGGGAATCCAAAGAAGCTGTCCAGAAATTCCCCAAGAACATGAATGAAGTCAGCAGACATGCAAAAATCCAAATCAGAATATCAAGCTTTTCATCTCCATGTGCTACCTACTAAACTATACTTTTTCTTCCTTATGCCTGCTCATTGACCCTATTTCTCTGAACTGTCCATCCTCATCCTACATTTCCATCTTTTTGTTGCCCTTTGTCCTTCTTCAGGTTGGATCTGGCTTCAGCTATGGAGTTGAAGTAGTCTAAGACAGAATCTGAACTGCCAGTAGACTCGGTCTGTCCTCTAGACTCCAGTTTGCTTCAATCTATGGAGTCACTTAGGTGATTAAGGGTGTAACTTTGAAATTTAAGATGTAAATCTTCAGCTGCCTGCAGATATCCCAACAGCCTCCTGCCTGCTTGAAAGAAGAGCCAGGAGAAACATACAGATACTTGCTCTCGTGATGTATGCTTGCAGGGTATACATGTGCCTGGAGGAAAAAGAGCTTAGAAAGAGCAGCAGTTGAAAATAAGGGGGAGGGGGTTCTGTTGGTGAATATTTTCCTTCAAGGAAAAACAAAGTTTAACTCTTGCCTTGGAAAGAGCAACTCAAATTAGGTTTTTGCTGTGAGTCACTTCTGAAATTACCTGTCTTCATTGAGTGCAGAGGATGCCTCAGATACAGCTTCCCCGGGCCTGAAGGTGGCCCTTGTGATGCTCCTCTGAGACTGGTAAGAAGGAAACCTACTCTTTGAATAAGAAGACAAAACAGTGACAAGGGTGCATTGAAGCTGCGTAGCAAGTTTCTATTCCAAGAGCTCTCTTTGCCTTCCAGGATGTTTACTAGTGTATATTTTCTTCCTGTGGGAATATTTTAATTTGGTCTAATTGGCCTTGTAGCTCATGTTGTCATTCAGTGTCCAAAACCGGAGTGTGTTTTCGGCCTGTGACTGTTTTTAGCTGATGTAAATAGGGCACTAAACCAGGAGCGTTCGTGCTTTTTATTACAGGCGTCTCGCTTTGGGCACTGAGCAGTTGGCCTTAGAAGTATTATAATGGCATTATCGGAAGTGAGAAGGTGATGATGGACCAAGTGGGTCATTGTTTTGTATCCTGACAGTTTCTGGGTGCTGTTCCTTAGCTTTTAAAGTCTCAATTGTACAACAACTTTCTGTGATCTGGTAGAAGACAGTTGGCTGATCTGAGTGAAAACTAACTTTCTCCCCCCCGCCTCAGGTAAATTGTTTCCACTGGGGAGGAGGGTGGGAGACTAGGGTGTGGGTGCATCTGCCTTTCCTTCTGGTGTCCAAGACATATGCAAACTGAAGTGGCCATACAGTCTCTGCACTTACTTGTCTGGTATTGACCTCTTATTGCTTCATTGCTTACACTTCAGTACTCTGCTTATATTGCCACCCTGTTTATATAGCTACAGAAAGCTGTGAGATCAACCTGCAAACAAAATCTTCATGGTGAGCTGAAACGGTCCAGCAGTTTGGTGTCCTTCATTTTTGTTCCCTTTTTTTTTTTTTACTGAAATGCTGCCCTCGAGTGGCGACCAGCTGATTGATCCCGACTGGCGATCTCTGAGTTGTTACTCCAGCCTGGCCGGTGCTCTGTGTGCGCCTTTGGGGGGCAAATGTTCTTGGCGCCCAGGTAGCCCCCCAGCGCAGCGAGGCTCCGGAGTCGGCGTTCAGCTGAAGCCAGCTGGTCAGCTTGCTCTGTGCAGTAACTGCTGAGAAGTTCCCAAGCGACATTACAGCACAGCAGCTTGAACTGCCTGGCAGCAACAGCGTCCTTGGCTTTTACAAGAAAATGGAGAACTGTAATTCCGAAGGAAATGTAATGATTTGAGTTGCTACTCTGACCACAAGCCCTCTAAACTTCATTTATATGAATGCTTCTTCCAGTAACTCCATCCGTTGCGCTGTTTCTGGACTATAGTTCATGGTTTTAACGTAGAAACTGTAACTTTGTAGAAGAGTGTTTTTCTGTGACGGGGTAAAGATGTTTGGACGATGGTGGTTCCTGGAAGCAGTTAATTTTCACTGGACTTGCAACTGAAAGTACTTAGCTGGCCAGAGCTGCAATGAGAGGAGGCAGATTCTCTCTTTCAGCTAGACTGTACTAGTTACATTAGATTTCACATTTATTTATAATAAATGTGAATACATTTTGATACCTTTAATCCATTACTTAAATTTAATTTGATGCATTTAATTTTGGTACATTAACAATTTACAATAAACGTGAATGAATTAAATGTATCAAAATGGAAAGCCAATGTATGAAACAAAAAAATTTAAGGAAAATAATCTGCTGTCACTATGTGACAATGAAAAGAATCCCAGCTTGTTTCTGTCAGAAGCTGTAATAGCATGCTGTCACCCTACAGCTTTCAGTTATATCTGCTCACAAATGTGTTTTGGTGGGCAGGTAATCTATATAATGCCATGATAACCTTACAGTATAACAATGCTGGATTTATACCCAAACACCCATGAGTATATCAAATTGGGTTTTTTACACTGAAACAATGGGCGCAAACATGAGCAGTAAAATATACGGTGGGATAGAGTAATAAATAGGAACAATAGATTAATATGATCCATTGGAAAGAAACAGACAATTAGTAGTTTCGTTGTTAGGATTCATATTTAAATCGCCTGGTTCTCCTGTAAAACAAATGAGATCAAAGAAAATAAAATGTTTTGCTTGGTGGGTGGGGTGACTTGGGGATTTTTGTATGAAAGCTTTCTATAGTGATTACTCTTTTCTACAGAGTTTAATTGCAGTATGGTGGCAGAAGATTATGTGAGATGGTGAAACCTGAAGTGGAATAGGGACCCGTTGATTTGCTTGCTGCTTACATCAAATAATCTTTGCTTCCCTTGAGTTTCAAATTTGATCATGTATAGCATCGTCTATGCTAGTGTCTTGTGTCCTTAAAAAGATAACTTGAAAGGAAATGAAGGGAGAAAAATGGAGAACATGAGTAAAATAGGAATGCTTGCTCCCTGCAGTTCAATGCAGAAAAGCGTTTGTCCTTCCCTTTCCTGGCTGAAATCCTCAATATACTTTTGGCTTTAGTTTCCAAGCTCAGTCCAGCATCCATTTGTTAGTGTGCAGCGAATCTGTGTATGATACTAACTAGATGTGGCAGCTCTTTTCTAAAATAGACTGTTCCAATCTGTCACTTTATTCTTTGGCACCAGGGATTTTCATTTTCCTGAGATGAACTCCACTGCTGGCCGTCCAACCTGATGGAGTGGAAGAACTGCAGAACAAACTGCTGCCATCAGCTAATTCACCTGAACAGAGCAGTGTGTGAGACCTACCTTGTCCCGTGAGTGTCCTGTCATTCACAGCAGCTGAACGAGTATTTTCAAGATGGCAAGTGAGCTGATGGGAGGAATTACCTGAAAGACCCCAAACATTTTATGCAAACACCTGTGCTGTTCTTAGTCATGCGAGTTTGCTGGAACTTGCCTCACATCTTCTTTCCTGTTCAGCAGTTCTTTCAAGCTGCTCTGAATCATTTCCTAAATCCATGTCACATGAAAAGCCTGAAAAGGTATCTTCAGTTTCTCAGAATCAGGCTTCTGCTGTTTACTGGTGAGCATCCCTGGCAGGTTTGTTTCATTTGGAAGTAATCATGGAATTAATTAGCATTTAGTATCAAGGTTGACTTTCTTGTAAAATTATGTAAAACCCTTGAGGCCTACCTGTTTGTTACACTGTTTACGGCTGCCAGGATGCTTTTTTCCATCAAAAAATGCAGCTTGATCACGAACATAGCACCACTAAGCGATGCCTTTGTTCACTATATGTATTGTTTGGTATCTTGCTTCTAGAAGAGCGTGCCACATAAAAAAGGAAAGGGAAGGTGAAGGAGGTGGAGCAAGGGGTAAAGGAATCCATCAGAATAGCAGAGTGGTCAGGAGCTGTGTCGTGACCTCGCATGTACAAAACACGAAGCTTAACTCTGCAGCTCCATAGCTGGGAACAAAAGCTCAAAGGCTTCAAGCAGATGTCGGGAGTAGAGGCAGAGCAGCCCTCTGGAGCCAGAGCCTCTGTAAAGCTGTGTCTGTGCCTCTCCAACGACTTTGTGTAAGGAAAAAAAAAACCAAACAAACGGTTATTGTCATGATTTGGTCCTCATCTTGCATGGATCCTGAGGGATTAGGATGGCATTGTGGGATGGGCATTCAGACCCTTTTGTTGCCTCTTCTGCAGCATGATGTGAGATAATGTGACTCTGCAAAAAGAGCCAACTAAGACCTTTTTTCTCCTCACCCCACTTCCATGTATTTAGTCGTATAGATTAAACTTGGCAAGCTGACCGCCGGTATTTAATGCATGAATTGAGAAACAAGAAGTACTGAATATATTAATCTCTTAAGTGTTGTGACCTAGTTGCCATCTGCTTTCATTAATTACTGTTTTAATTGTTTGTCGGGATTAATTTTCCTTCATTAAAAGTAGCATTTCATACTCTCAGTGTATTTCTGCTCACTCATATGACTGATTAGTACAAAATGTAAATTGAGTACAAAATATGCAAGAACGAACAAACTTTTTTAAAGCAGAATATTACATATTAATTGCTCTTCTGGTTGAGGGAGAGGTCTGTTCATGTAATCAGTCCAAGTTAGTGCTGAGAAATACATGAAATCTAAGAAAAATCAAGAGAAGTCTGTTAAAATCATGTTTCTCATGAAGATATGACTGTGGATATCAAGTGGCTCTAAGGGCATAATTTTTCTGAAGTTGCAGGGGTTTTCGCCTCCTACCAAGTGCACTTACTCATCTCGGCGAATATTTGTACAAATGGCTCAAACAGCATGGGAACTCTTATAGTAAACAATTATATGCCTCCTAGGGCAATAATGAGTGCCTTAAAATTAGCAGGCAGAAGGATAATGTTCAGCAGTAGGTCTGAGATGCTGGCTCTGAATTAGGTACTAAAATTGGAACCTTACTTCACAGCTTTGAAAAGGAAGAAGCTGGGTTTGAACAAGAACTAGGCTTTTTGTTTTAACTGGCAAAATTAACTTCCTTGAAGGAAAAGGTGTGAACTGCGCTTCAGCTATCTTGGTTATACAAAGATTCTTCAGCCTGTTTTACTGAAGTAAAATTAATAGAAGTGTTTAATCGTCCTGTGAATTGGGATTATTATTTTAGTATAGTCATAACTACAAAGGAAAATGTTAATCACTGAGATTGGATTATGCAGTGACCTTTCAAATCTATGGTGTTTGCAGCTATTAGGCTTGCTTCAAAGTAGGAGTCGGAAAGCACTTTCAGTAGTGGACCTTTTGGAAATAGTTTAAATGTTTCTGTCCAAAAAATAATGATTGAATTAAAGAAATGCTACTTTCCAGTTACTGATTTTTTAATTCTTTGTATAATCTACATCATGAACGCACATGATGTTCTCCAGTGCCTCAGTGTCCTGAAGAAACCAGCAGTTTTCAGCTTTTGTTTATAAACTTGTAAATTTCTTTTCCTTTTTTCCTTGATTAAAAGGACTTGATGTTTTGGTTTGGTGTTTACATTAAATCTGAAAGTGGAAACAAGAAACCCAAGTTCTTTCAGGCAGATCTTTCTCCCCAGCAGGACTGCAGCTGCTTATGACTTGTAGTTCGGTGGCTGTGATGGTACTGGTCACCTGTATGGGGTTTCTGTGGGGAAGGCACCTGCAAACAAAGAAGGGTTTCTGTGGAGAGCAGTGGGTGAGGACCAGGAGGTGAGGGGTCCTTGCTCTGCTGCGAAGGCTGAGTGAGGTCCCTGGGCAGTCAGTCATGCCTGGGCTGGTCCTGTCTGACTGCAGGTGCTTTAAGAGGTACCTGGGCTTGAGGTCACCGGAGAGAGCAGAATACATGAAGGTAAATGCAGCTGGGCTTCTGTGCATTAGGTGAAACGGAGCCAGACATGCATTTGTAATTTTGAACTCTAAAATAGATATAATAAAACTGCTGGTTTAGTTTCTAATCTCTTTGCAATGGTAACTATGCTTTTGCTAGATATTTGGGCTCTGCATGGCACACTGGGGCCTCCCATTCAGCTGAGGCTGCTAGGCTCTGTAAAATATAAATAGCTGTTACAAATGCACATGCACTCTTTAGAGCTAATTTTGTAGCTTTTAATTTACCTGAGTGATTATCTAAGCTACAGTGAGAGCACTTACCTGAGCTGTCCCAGTGCAGGGCTTAGATTCATCTTCTTAAAAGCCTCTTTATGAATCATAACTCTTTCTGTCCTTGAATAACTTAAAACCTAACAGCATTGCAAATCTTAACAGTCCAAACCTCTTAATGATGGTTGGTTTTGATGCACATCTGAAGAAGTATATGGTACCATTACTCATCCTCACTTGGACTATATCCCTAGGTCCATTTTGTAGCATCCTGTAGTTCTTTATCACCAACTCCTGACCTGGCTCTGTAAACAGGCAGGCTTCTGTTGTTGAATGTTAAATCTGGCAAACGAGTAAATCAAGTAGAATGTGTATTCAGAGCTGACATTTCAAAGGTGAAGCCTATGAGGATTAGACTAGGATTTGAATTTATTTTTCCGAAAGTGATTACACTAAAACATATTTCTCTGCAGTGGACAACATCATGCCATATCGGTAATACAGTCACTTTTCTAACTACACGCACTAATCAGGAATTGTCTTAGCAAATGTTTTTGCTTGCAAGGATTTCTGCTGATGATCTCTATTGCCAACTTATCATCTGTGCACAAAATCTACCTTAGCTTCAGTGACAGTCCGTAAAGTTTCATTTTAAGGTCAGCTGTTACATTAGTATATCCATGTCGGTCTTCTGTGTTGTCTCTCTAGCCCTTCTCATAAACCCAGATCTTGGCAGAGTAGCAGCATTTCCTTATAGTGAGCTCTGTCTCCCTCAGCCTTCCCTGCATGTGGCTTTGTTTTGGGTGGTTACATCTGGTTTGGGGATGAGGCTGCTATTGTTTCAGCTGTGCCATTACACAGAGCAGCTTAGTTGCTCCTTGTAGCTGGATGGCAGTTACTGCTTACGCTGAATTTCAGGACACTCAGGCCAGTCTATCCCCATGAATGGCATCAGTTTCTACCTATTTTTATATTTTGTCTCCTAACAAGAGCATGAATTCTGATTGGTCCATGGTGTGACATACAACAAATCTTTCAAGTCAGTCTGACCAGGGTTCAAATTAAAATCATGATTCTTCTCCCAACTTGCATATGTAAATGAGATGAGATCAAAACAACAAAAGCTCGATGTTCTTTATTACAACTGGACTGGTCATTCTGAAAAATAAGTTTGATCTTCCCTGTGTCATCCTGGCAACAATACCTGTAAATAGGTTAGTTCTACCTTGTTAACATCAAAGCACACTGTGTCTCAGGTATGAAGTGCAGGACAAGAAAATGTCCTCTCATTGGAGAGAACATTTTGTTAGTCATGTTTTTCATCTGCATCCAGACAGGTTTTTCTCTGTAACTGTAACTTCAAGAGAAAGTGATGTTCTGGAGAAAGAATGCGTCTCTGCTCCTCCCTGAGCCAAAGTAAGTCCTCAGCTCTTTAGACTATCCTCAGGAATTTCTTCTGGGCAGTTCAGTCATTTGGCCTTAGTAAGGAAAGTTCAGCAGGAGCCCTGAACCTTGAGTGAGTGTTTTCTGGGAGACAGTCAATGGCATCTGAGGAGTGGGGTACAGGGGGAAGTCCAGATGCTGATTTACATCACTCAGGGCTCAGATTAAAATAGGGAGCTCTTCACAAGCCAGAGCTTTTAGCTAAAGGCTTGGCTTTATCTGGAGAAGTCTTTTGTGCTCTCTACATTAAGGGAAAAGCACTTCAGGCTTTGAACCTTTAAGTCAAATTGTGAAGTCTTGAAAGAATAGAGCTGTGGTTGTATCCCCCACACTGCAGATCCTTTCTTGCTGTGGACATCAGGCAATTAGGGGGACAATGCTGGTCTCATTCTCCTGCTTCCTATTGCATACCTTGTATGTATTAGCAGTACCATTTATTTTTAAAGCTATTTTATATGGGTAAAGCAGAGATCAACTTGAGTGCTTTTAGTTAAAGAGAAAATGGAGATTCTCAATGCAGTGCCATTTACTGCTGCTAGCAGATCTGCAGCCCTTTCCCTAGCAGCATAAAAATGGTTGGGAGCAGCAGGTATTGCCTGGACAGGTAGTGCAAAGAGTTAGTGAGGAGATCTGGGCTCTGTAATATGACTAGAGACTTCTTTTGGTGATATATCTGAAGGTGGGATGAGCATCAGTGACCACATGCATATAGTTGTGGTATATGTAATGACCTTGTGATTAAGAACAGATGAATCCATCTTTCAACTGTTAGAAATAGTCATCACTGAGGAGCCAATCCTAAAAACCTGTAATGGTAACTGTGCAAAGGCCACGTACTCAGGGAATGGCGGTGTCACTCCATTCAGCTCTACTGGAAGAACAGGGTACAGCTGAACAGTTCTGAATACTTACGATGGGTATGTGCTATTCTGGCTATGCAATGATTTAGCGATGAGTTTAAAAATGCTTAAATCAGGCCTGTGAGAATGCAGGTTTTCACATCTGAAAAAGCAAATTGCTTCATGTTTTAATTTTATTTTTTTTCTGAGCATTTTCTTGTCTTCCTTTCACACTTAGTTATTTAGTCTATAGAACTTACAGGCTGCTCTGTTACTCCAGGCTGTGAATTTCAGTTCCTTATCATTAAAAGTGGATCTTTACATTACCTGTTGTATACCTGGTCCCAAGTTGATTTTTCTTAATTAAAAAATGACTCATGTAGAGGGTTAGCCTTGCTTGTTGTATTTGATTTTGCATCTCTTTTTCCTGAATGATTGCTTGTATAGACTTTCACCTAATACTGAAACAGCAAAAAACCCCAACATTTCCAACTGTGTGTTCAGTTTTGAACTCTGTACTATAGTGATTTCTAGCCTATGATCTTTGGATTCCTGAAGGTTAGTGGCCTACCATCCATCTACCAGAAGATGTAAACTTATTCGTGGTAGGTCTCAGTCATCCCACTGGGAGGAGAGTGGACAAAGCCTGACCTCTTCCTCTCACGGTCAACAATGCAACCGAGGGCATGCTTGGGAGCTTCTGATTCCAAGCGTCTCTCTTCCTTGCTCTGATGCTGAAGGGACTTTATGAATGTTACAGGCTGACAGATGCTGGCAGTGAATCTCAGGTCTTTTAGTGATGAGCACACTGGCTCTAGGCAGATCTACTTGGTGTCCATCACCTTGGCACTGCCCTTCCTTGAGGCAGTGGTCACACCAGCAGCTGTACCCAGCCCCGCTTCATCAGCGCTCCTTGAAGCTCAGGGCTTTTTCCCATATGCTATTTGGACCGGCTGTAGTACCTGCTGTTTGCTGTCTGTTTGAAGTCTTTCAGTGGCTTGCCTGGGGAGTGCAGTAAATATTCTGACTGTGGGAGAAAGGAAGGAGTGAGACTCAAGCCATTGATTAAAAGCTGCCTAGTCTGAGTAATGGAATGGTTAAAGCACAGTTGCCGTGACAGCACTGCCCCTGGATGCTCCAGCCTGAGTCACGCTCCTCCTGCCTCCTGCTCTCCTCTGCTGTGCCCGGGTGCCCAGCTGCTGCGTGCGTGCAGAGAGGGTGACGCTGCTCTCACTCCTACCCAGACAGTGAGCAAAGGCTTCAGTGACTCACAGCAGAGATCAGAGGGGAAGGAGAACTATTACTGCAGCCCCAGTGAGCTCCACTGGAAAATGAATGCATGACTTGTAGATAAATCTTCTTTGGCAGGGTAGTACATTAGGCTCTGTAGGAGCTGCTACAGGAAACATCAAGGGGACTTCTATTTTTAACATTTTGTTTGGTGAATGGGAAAAAAGTATTGAATGTATCTGTGCCTCAGTTTCCACCTCTGTAGTGTGTGAAGGATGTGTACAGTACTCGCTGTTTGAGTAATTTTAAATGTTTGCACCGAACCTGTTTGGCAAAATGCAGCAAACTATGATTTATTAATGACTTGAAGATGGTCCAAAAATCGAAATGTCACCTGTACCAGTCAAAGGGGGAGTGCAATTGATAGCCACCCCTTCTAAAGGAGGTATTAAAAAGGGCTTGTTTTCTAAGTAAGTGTAAAGTTGACATTGGAGGGGATGTTCTGAGGATCAGTAACCTGAGAGGTAGCCATTAATGCCCAGTTTAGAGAAATGTATAAAGATGCATCACCCCAAAAGTATTTATTTTTTATGTGCTTCATGTATTCCTCAGCTTTGCGAAAATCTCAGTGCATTTACAGTGAGGCCCACACATTCAGCCCAAATCTCTTCCTGCCTCCCCTCCCTCTTCAGTTTACCATAACTAACTTGTTTGTCATCCTGTGACTTCTC